TGCTTCTCCCTCTGACCCTCCTCCCTCTCATGCTCTCTGTCTCTCATTCTCTCTGTCTCAAATAAATAAATAAAATCTTTAAAAAAATAAATAAAAATAATTAATGTTAACTATAAACACAAAGTTTAAGAACATCTGTCACACAAAATACACTATTATTAGAAGTACCAGCCAAAATAGTAAACTTAGTAAATTTTAAGGGAAATGGCTGGTAACTTTAGTTGCTAAATCTCATTAACATTATAAAAATCCCGGGGCGCCTGGGTGGCTCAGTCGTTAAGGATCTGCCTTCAGCTCAGGTCATGATCCCAGAGTCCTGGGATCAAGCCCCGCATCGGACTCCCCGCTCGGCGGGAGGCCTGCTTTTCCCTCTCCTACTCCCCCTGCTGGGGTTCCCTCTCTCGCAGTCTCTGTCAAATAAATAAATAAAATCTTTAAAAAAAAATTACAAAAATCCCTTATTTCAGAAAAGTAAGTACAAATATATTATCTTTTAAAGTTACCTAAGCTACCTGAGTACTTTGCAGCTTTAAAAATTCTGGTGCATCATCAATAAAATGAAATTAATATTCTTAAATATTAATGTCCTACTATCATGAAAATTACTAATAAGATAACCCAATTTAAAAAAAAAAGATACCCCAACTTAAAAATGAGCAAGGAAGTTGAAGAGTTTTCCAAAGAAGACATACAAATAGCCAATAAACACATGAAAAGAGGCTCAACATTACTAGTCAATAGGGAAATGCAAATCAAAACCAATGACATATCACATCACATCTACATTTTCCACATTACGCTAATCACCAAGTCCTGTGAAGTCTACCTCCATAATGTCATCTCTAAATATCTTCTTTGGGGAGTTAAAATACGAGATGGCAGTTCAAAGTAAAAGAAAGGCAAATGGTCCTTAACCATAAAAAAGCATTATCATGTTCATTCATGACAAAAATGCATATTAAGATTACATTGCAAACATCACTTCACACCTACTAGGATGGCATGATTTTTTAAAAAAAAACAGAAAATAACAAAGCTTGACAAAGATGTGGGAAATCAGAATTTTCTCATACATGCCGGTGGGAATGTATAATGGTGTAGCCACTATGGAAAACAGTTTGGCAGTTCCTCAAAAAGCTAAACATACAATTTATCATATGACCTAGCAATTCCATTTCTGGGCATATACTCAAAAGAACTGAAAACAGGTACTTAAACAGATACTTGTACACTAATGTTTACTGTGGTAGTAGTTACAGTAGCCAAAAAGTGAAAACAACCCAAATGTCCATCAACAGATAAATGGATAAACAGAATGTGATACATACATACATACACACACACACACACACACACACAGAGGAATATTATTCAGCCATAAAAAGTAAAGAAATTCTGATACATGATACAACATGGATAAACCTTGAAAACATTATGCTAAGTGAAAGCCAGACACAAAAACACAAATATAATGATTCCACTTGTATCTAATATAGGCAAATTCAAGAGACAGGAAGTAGGTTAGATGTTATTAAGGACTAGGAGAAGAGGTGAGGGTTACTGCTGAATGAGTAGTTTCTGTTTGGAGTGATGAAAAAATTTTGGAAATAGTAGCGATGCTTGTACAACATTGTGAAAGTAAGTAATGCAACTGAGTTATACTTAAAATTGGTTAAAATGGCATTTTTTAATATATACTTTTGACTATAATTTTTTTAAAAAATTTAATTTGTACACTATCCTTAAGTGGTTTTTGGCATATGCTAAAATCCAGAGAATATTACAGTAATAATAATATAATACTTTAAGAGATTGTTTTTTTTAAACCTATGTTCTTGCATTCATATACTGTATTTTCTTAACCACAACATTATTTTTTAAAAACAATCTTGGTTAAGCAAAAAAGAAAGTATTTTTATGGTGTAGGAAGACTACTATACCTGAAATAAAAGGTACTCCTATCATTCCTGGGGGGAAGGGGTCATGTCAAAAATATATACTAAAAAATGCTGATATTTAAAAACTTACCTTAAGGGGCACCTGGGTGGCTCAATCAGTTAAGTGTCTTGCCTTCAGCTCAAATCATAATCCCAGGACGCTGGGATCGAGCCCCAGGTTGGGGGCGGGGGGGGGGGTCCCTGCTCAGCGGGAGTCTGTTTATCCCTCTCCTTCTGCCCCTCTTCTGCTTGTGCTCTCTCTCTTGCTCTCTCTCTCAAATAAATACGTTTTAAAAAATTAAAAATTAAAAGCTTACCTCAAATTTAAACCATTCTGAGTTCCACTGAGGGTTGAGGGACTTGAGATACACATCTGTTTTAAAGGTGGTATTTCCAAATTTTACCTAAAAACAAACAAACAATCCAAATATAAACATCAAAAATATGAATAAAAGTAAATTTTGGTATCAGCCAACCAATGGGAAGATTAACCATGGAGGGGAAAAAAAAAAAAAGGCAACTATCCCCTGAAACAAAAGAGAAGAAAAGTACAGTCCAGTAAGTTGATAGGCTACACCTTCATGAAAGAAGAGATTACCTACTGCTCTGGTTGACTAGCTCTACACAGAAATTAAAAACAGACTATTTTGTCAATATGAAGGAAGGAGTCAATATAGCCTTCAGAGAACAAAAGCTCAGACAAAAGAGGAATCTTGATGGCAGAGGACCAGCAAGGATAAAAATCCGAAGGTAAAAACAGCAAGTGACCCTCCTTTCACCATCTCAGCTTGGGAATCCAGAACTCCAGCCCATTATTGTAAAAACTTAGAAATATCTCCTTGTATTTTCCAGCTTTCCCATTTTGTTATTTTTTTTAACCCCTTATCGGTGCACACATAGTGATTAGCAACAAACCATTATCATTAAGGGCTTTATCTTTGGGGACAATGAAAGGGATTGGATGGGGAGACTATCTTATTTCACAACCAGTCTTGGCAGACACTAAATCACAAAGATCCAAAAATAAATAAGAAGGGAATGAAGAAAGCCGAAAGCAGGCTAAATCCCTGGAACTTGCTTCCAACAAAGAATGGAGATTATAAAATCTGACTGAACTTGAGAAGTTGGTCAGGAAGCTTAAGAGCAAAACAGCTGAGAACTACGTCCTAGATGGCCTCACCTTTCCTAAATTTGATCTCTTCCCTAATTCTATTAGTTATTACCATTATCTTTCCTTACCTCTAAATTCACTAAAGCTTATTCCCTTTAAGACAATTTCTAGCAATAAGAGACTCTTAATCATAGGAAACAAACTGAGGGTTGCTGGAGGGGAAGGGGGTGAAAGGATGGGGTAACTGCGTGATGGACATTAAGGAGGGCACAATGATGTAATGAGCACTGGGTATATATAAGACTGATGAATCACTAAACTCTACATCTGAAACTAATAATACAGTGTATGTTAATTAATTGAATTTAAATTTAAAAAAAGACAATATCCAGCACATAGTTTTATACACTGTAGATTCTTAGGAAATGCTAGTTCAAGCAGATAATCTATGAAACCTCCTTTCTTTTTTGAAAGAAACCTCCTTCTCCTTTGGTATTATATTTGCTGATTTTCCTGTTTTATCATTTATCTGTCCAAGAAATTTCTAAAAGCAAAATATTCAAAAGAATAACTGCTTTTATCTTCTGTATATTTTTCTAGGTGTTTTATCATTTAATCTGGATTATTAGGCATGGTACCAACCATTTTGGTGCTTAGGCAGGTTAGAGGGTAGAAAAGGTTAAAATAATTATGTGAAAATAATAACTTCTGGGGGCGCCTGGGTGGCTCAGTCGTTAAGCGTCTGCCTTCGGCTCAGGTCACGATCCCAGAGTCCTGGGATCGAGCCCCGCATTGGGCTCCCTGCTCAGCGGGAAGCCTCTTCTCCCTCTCCCGCTCCCCTTGCTTGTGTTCCCTCTCTCGCTGTGTCTCTCTCTGTCAAATAAATAAATAAATAAAAATAATAATAATAACTTCTGACACAATAAAGAATGTAAGAAAGTCAAAGATAAATAAGAAATTGAGAAAAAGTATTTGCTAAATATATACTAAAGAGTGACTTTCCACAATTTCTAATGAGTTCCTATAAAGCAATATGAAAAAGATCAATAACCCAACAAAAAAAATGGGCAAAAGACATGAACAGACAATGCAAAGAAATGGAAATATAGATGTTTTTATTTATTTTAACACAGATGCTTTTAAAATACAGTTAGGGGTGCCTGGGTGACTCAGTTGGTTAAGTGACTGCCTTCGGCTCAGGTCATGATCCTGAAGTCCCTGCTCTGCTTCTCCTTCTGACCCAACCCCCTCACATGTGGTCTCTCTCTCTCTCTAATTCTCTCTCTCTCAAATAAATAAATAAAATATTTTTTAAAATAAATAAATAAATAAAATACAGTTAAACTTTGAACAACATGGATTTGAATAGTACGCATCCACGTATAGGCAGATTTTTTTCAATAAATATACTGGAAAATCTTTTGGAGATTTGTGACAAATCGAAAAAACTCACAGACAAACCATGTAGCCTAGAAACAGCAAAAAAACTAAGAAATAGTTGTCATGAATGCATAAGATATATGTAAATACTAGTCTATTTTATCATTTACTACCATAAAATACACACTAAGTATAAAAAATTAAAATTGATCAAAACATGCACAGAAATATGTAACAGAGCACACATGACGCCATTAGCAGTTGAGAGAAATATAAATGAATGGATAGATGTGGTATTAAATCATAACTGCATAAAATGAATAGTATGTACTGTGCTACCGTAATAATTTCAAACCACCTTCTGTTGCTACTGCCATGAGCCCAAGTGTTGCTAGTATCCGCTTAAAACACTGTATGATGCTACCCATCTCTCTGTGAGCAGTTCATCTCTCCAGCAAACTGCATATTGCAGTACAAAGTGACCTCTTGCAGTTCTTGTGTATTTTTCATTGTGTTTAGTGCAATACCGTAAACCTTGAGTAGTGTCATGGGACCCATAAGAAGTGCCACTAGTGTTGCTTTAAGTGCTCCCAAGAATCAAAGAAAAGTCATGACATTACAAGAAAAAGCTGAATGGCTTGATATATACTGTAGATTAAGGCCTGCAGCTGCACTTGCCTGCTGCTTCAAGATAAATGAATCCAGCATAAGGACCACTGTAAAAAAAGAAAATTCATGAAGCCAATACTGCAGCTATGCCAGCAGATGCAAAAACCTTACACCTTTTGCAAAATACCTTTTTATCTCATATTGAAAATGCAGCTTTTATATGGGTGCAGGATTGCTATAAGGCAGCTATATTTATAGACTCTAATATGATTCGAGAAGAAAGTGAAGTCATTATGTAACAACTTAAAGCAAAAGGAAGGTGAAAGATCTAAAGCTGGATAATTTCATGCCAGCAAAGGATGGTATGATAATTTTAGAAAGAGGACTGGCTGAAAAAATGTCAAGATAACAGAAAAAGCAGCTCTTGCTGACCAAGAGGCAGCAGACGAGTTCCCAGATGCCATCAAGAAAATCACTGAGGAGAAAGGATATCTGCATGAACAGATTTTTAATACAGACAAAAGTACCCTATTCTGGAGGGGGAAAAAAATGCCACAAAGTGTATTTATTAGTCAGGAAGAGAAAAAAGGATTTAAGGCAAGAAGCGATAGGCTAACTCTACCATTTTGTGCAAATGCAGTCGGGTCTATGATCAGAACTGCTCAACACCAAGGGCATCGAAGTGGCCTACCTGCCCCCAAACACAAGCTCTCTATAATCAGCCTCTAGATTAGGGGGTCATAAGGACCTTTAAAGCTCATTACATGGTATTCTTTGAAAAGGATTGTCAACCCTATGGAAGAGCATTCTGATGAGAAAACATGAAAGTCTGGAAGGATTACACCACTACACAACTACGCCATCGTTGTAGAAAAAGCCATGAAAGCCATCAACATGAAACAAATTCCTGCTGGAGAAAACTATGCCCAGATGTTGTATATGACTTTACAGGATTTACAACAGAGCCAATCAAGGGAATAAGGGAAGAGTTTGTGGGTATGACAAAAAAGGTAGAGGGTGAAGGGTTTCAAGATTTGGATCTTAAGAGAAATTTAAGAGCTAATAAACACCACACCAGAAGAATTCACAGAAGATAACTTGATGGAGATGAATGCTTCCAAACCAGTGCCAGACGACAAGAAAGAAGCTGTAGAAGAAGCAGTGACCAAAAACAAACTGGTATTAGACAACCTGGCAGAAAGGATCTGACTATTCAAGACTGCTATTGATTTATTTTACAACATGGACCTTTCTAGGATACTAGCACTGAAACCAAAGCAAACAGTGGTACTGTATAGAAATGTTTTTTAAAAAATGAAAAAGCAAAAATGTCAGAAATTACAACATATTTCAGTAAAGTTATTCCACGTGTGCCTCTTTCCTGCCTCCCCTTCCAACTCCTCCACCTGTTCCACTTCTGCCACCCAAGACAGCAAGACCAACCCCTCCTCTTCCTCCACCTACTCAACATGAAGACGAGGATGAAGACCTTTATGACAATCCACTTCCACTTAACGAATAGTACATAATCATCATGCCATATAGTTAATAAAATTATCTGTTGTGTATATGTGAGTATCTTCATGTGAAAATCTAATAACTGCATGGCAAGAGCCTCATATGTCATCATCATTTCCTAAGTAGTCATCTATGTAAGACGTGTATAGAAGTCCTTAGCTTATACTAAGCAATATGAGCAATATTTAATACAAAATTAATCAGATGTTAGTTTTGTTTTTTTTTTTATTTACTTATTTGAGAGAGAGAGCATGTGCACATGCGCACAAGCAGGGAGAGGAGAGGGAAAAGCAGGTTTCCCGCTGAGGAGGGAGCCCGACGGGGGGCTCAGACCCCAGGATCATGACCTGAGCCAAAGGCAGACACTTAACTGACTGAGCCACCCAGGTGTCCCAGAAGTTAGTTTTCTTACTGTTTTATAACTTTGCTTTCAAAGAATTATGTAACTACAGTATGCCTCTCTCTCATAATTGGAGAAACTATCAGCCTTTAATCACAAGTAAATGATTTTTTTTTAAAGTTACATTACTGTATTATAAATATGACTGCAATACTGTATGCCATAAAATTTTTGATAACGATTCATTTGTTAGTATATAGGCTACGCTACTGTGAAGCAATCCTATCAATTACACTACGCTACCATAAAGCAATCATACTGCTGCTTCTTTGTTATCAATGCCCATAAATCATTATATTTGTAAATAAATGTGAATTTCTTTTTCACATTATCTTTTCATTTTTGATGTCTAGTGCTAGTAATACGTATAACATCCACCATGTTTT